AATTCCATAAGGTCTATCAAAACCCGCAACCCCCATCCGTCGTCTAAATTTTTCATCCCACTATACTTACTTTTTTTTATTGTTTAAGAATTCCTGAGCATGTAATGTGTCTTCTTTTTCTCTATCAATAACTGTTGACTGGAGTGACCACTTTTCACAGGGAAAGAACTCGAGGTAGTTTCGTATGGAATGTTTTCAGTTTCACGTTGATAAGCAATAAGGTATACTTGATAAAAAAGAATTATTAGAAAATACGATATTAAAAAAATTTTATCTAAGAAACAAAAAAAAACATTTTGATGCGAATATCGTTGGTGGGTGTATCACTAATATATTGATCGACTATGTGACATGATGTCATTTTTAGAATAATAGTTTAGGGGAATTAACCCGATATAGTAGTTTGTTCGTCATTGCAATCAGAAAAGGAAAAAGAGAAACTTCCGGAGGTAATTTTCTCCTTTACGTCATTAATAAATATCTATATATTGTTATATAACGATAATAAAAAAAAATTTGTGGTGGAATTGGTCAACTGCGCATATCAACTAAAGATTAGTATATTTAAATCGTAATGCAGCCTTACACATGTAAAATTTATTTAGTTTGAATAAAATCTTCCAAACTATACATTTTTCAACAACCTTCCGATCTCGATTATAAACGGTCAGTCGGTCAAAGGCCTTTGACCAACCACTGACCGAACCTAAAGTAAAAAATTTTAACAGTAAATTTCATACGTCCACTAACCAATAATTCGCGATTTCGTAGTGGTTAAAAATTCTTTTATGAGTTCCTACAAAATTAATCTAATGAAAATTCCTTTCCATTCACGATAAGCTTCTTTATACTGAAGCACGTCTTTGGGATCGTTGAAAATATACATACTCTCTATACCTCCTCCACTTTTTTTACTGAAAAATTAATAAAGTTTCATCCACCCGGGCATTTGCATCAAACTTTTTTTCTTTGCAAAAACTAAGTTGTTTTATGTACCGTAACCTTCTCCGGATAACGTAAGACGTTTTGCACAATGCAAAGTCTGTTGCTACGCAGTCATTTCGCAAGACAACACCAGAGACAGATGTATCCCCTCAGGTTTTACAGACTGGATATTGGAACCAGAACCTTATGAATCTTTTGAAAGCCATTATGCAATCATTTCGCAGACAACACCAGAGGCAGACGTATCCCCTCGGGATTTACAGGCTATTGAAACGCCGGGTTTTATGAAAAAATAAGCATTACAGTCAACTCTTGATAAACCGAAGCCACGATAAACTGAAGATTACTATATACTGAAGATTTTCATAAAACTGTTTTCATTAATATTTACATATACCGATTTTTACTATAAAATTTTATATAACAGGTTTAATTTTTGCCATTTATTAGCATACAGAAAAGAACGCTGAAAAGACTGTGCTACTTGCTTAACCTCTATTTGTAAGGGATCAGATAATTTTTTGACGGTTTATACTAACCGAAAAATTCAGTTTTCGGTTAGTTTGATAATAAAATATGGTTTAACCCTTTCTACCATTTTTATAGCTTCTTCCATTCTGTATGCATAATTTTATATGAATTTATGTGTAAGGCTTCTTGCTTCATGCTTCGACAATCAGCTTTTACGAACAGCGGTTCAATATATTAGAAAAAAAAAGGATCTAATTACGCCATACGCTGCGCAAAAAAACTTTACACAAGTGGCGTTTTTAAAAATTTTCTCATTAAACTTTTTTTTTTGTTAGTTAATTTAATTAAGAAAAAAAGAAAATATGCAATGACTATTTTGACTATTTAAAGCAAATGCATTTATGAATGACTGAAATAAAATCTCGCCGACCTATTTAAAATCCTCT